ACACATTTATATATATACTTCTTCCTTTCCTCACCTTGCCCAGCTGTCTCTCTCACACACATTTTTTTCACTTTTGAACACTTTTCTCTCAATCAGTTACCGCACAGCTGGGTCTCAAGAGATGATCTGACAACCACTGGGCAGAAACAGCATCTTCTATGAAGACATAAGAGGAAAGGGATCAAAATGAGATATGAGTTCCAAAGAAATCACCATGCAGCTCGACTTCTGAAATTCCTCTTCTTCAGTGCTTGAAGACCTCATTAGCAGAAGCCGAAAGAGCTGCTCAGTTTTATAGACATGCATAACACACATACAGAGAAAGAGAGAGAGAGAGAGAGAGAGAGAGAGAGAGAGAGAGAGAGAGAGAGAAGGTTGGATCATAGCTCCGTTAGGAAGAATATCTTAGGAATTGTCCCAGATGTAATTAAAATGTGCCCATGAAAGATGTATGTGTACAGGTACTTATTTAAAAGTAGCCTGTGATTAGCTCTGCTGTGATGATCACCTATGCATCTTGGTCTTTCAAGTCCTGTGAATAATCTATTTAGAAGATCTGTGTTGAATGTCAATTATCAGAAGACATTTTTCCAGAAACCACATGGTGGCCGTGCTAAATTTGAATTTCCAAATAACTTTATAATTTAAAATAGGTTGAAAATACACTTATTACTATGCATATGTAAATATACATATAAAATATGTATAAATTTAAATTTATACATATTTAATACTCATTTATTATATGTGTATTAAAATATGTATAAATTTTAAAAAATACCAAATTTCATGGTTCAAGCATAACATCCTTGGGGATTACCACGTGTCTTAATTTGGTTTCTATCACTGTGATAATACACTGATGGAAACCAACTTGGGGGAGCAAAGGGTTTTTATTCCAGCTTCCAACTCCCAGTCACAGTTCATCATTGAGGGAAGTCAAGGCAGGAACTCAAACAGGAACCTGTAGGCAGGAACTGAAGCAGAGGCTGCTTGCTGGCTTATTTCTCATGGCTTGTTTAACTTGCTTTCTTATGCAGCCCAGGGCAACTTGCTCTGGGGTGGCACCAGCCACAGTTGGCCAAGACCTCCCACAGTCATTAATCAAAAGATATCACAAAAACTTGTTGACAGGCCAATCCTTTTTTTTTCCCAGCATAATATTTTTTATTGATTATCTGGTAATTTAATATAATGCACCCCAATCACACTCACTTCCCATTCCTCCTAAGTCCTCTCACCCTTGTGCCTTTTTTCAATGCCCCCCAACTAATACACTATGTAAAATTTGTGTTGCCCATGTATTCATTGGAGCATGGTCAAATTCCCAGTGACCCGCCCCTTAAAGATAACCGAGTACTTTCCTGTCCCTACTTCAGAAGCCATCAGCTGTGAAGGGCTACACTTCCGCATCCTTATCAGAATTTTTAAGGACTCTCTTCATTGGCCTCCTGCCTAAACATTTTTGGGGGGGAAGAGGAGTTGTTGCAGACGCTATCAATGTCTCCTATTCTCACTTCTGAGTCTGGAGTCGTTGGTACCACTGCAACAGTCGCCTCCTTGCCTAAAACAGGGAGCAGCAGCATGAACCATGGACTTCCACATGGTTTCCATGGTTTCCAGTGGCTGCTTGGACCATGGACCTCATCATGGTCCTCAGTGGCAGCAAAGACCACAAACATTCAATCTTATAGAAGTAGTTTTTTTTAATTGAGTCCCTCTTCCTTGATCCTTCTAGGTTTGTGTTAAGTTGACAAAATCTAATCAGGCCATTATACATGATGGTAGTGAGGAGCTGTGGGCAGGCCTGCTTTTCATCCTGCCCCACTCCCGCACAACTAGCTTAGCCCCAGAAATAATAACACACAAGTTGTATTCATTTAAACACTGCCTGGTCCATTATCTCTAGAGAGTTAGTTACTGACTAACTCTCACATCTTGATTAACCCATTTCTAATAATCTGTGTAGCACCACGAGGTGGTGGCTTACTGGAAAAGATTCAGCATGTCTGACCTGGTGGCTGGCTTCATGGCATCTGCCTCACTGCCCTCTTCCCAGCATTCTGTTCTGTTTACTCCACCTACCTAATTTTCTGTCCTATCAAAGGGTCAAGGCAGTCTCTTTATTAACTAATGAAAATAACACATAGACAGAAGGTCCACCTACATCACATGATAATTTGGGAGGCAGTATTTTTGGGGATTATGTTGTATCCATTAAGCATAATGCTGAGGTTAATTAAACTTTATACGACAACATTTTAGGAAATAAGTTTTAAAATTCTTTGTAAGTGCTATACTGTTAGGTAAAGATTAGCAGTTATTGGAATTACACCAACTTACTCAACTCAGAAAGAAAACGGTAAGTATTTATGCTTTTGGGTTCAGACTGGGGAATAGGTTTCTATTATATTGTGTTAAAAGTAGCTCAACGGTAGTCAACATCCAGTTGGTATAATCGCACTGGTATCATGAACTGCTAAAAAGATGAGCTTTGCTACTATGTAACAAATTTCAAACTATATGATTATAACACGTGTACTCCAAATCTTAATTTTATGACATCTCAGGAAACATGTATTTATTATCAATAATATGTATCACCCTATGAAATTAATTTGTCTCTATCTTGTTAAATGCAATATGGCCAAAATCATTCAGTAGTATAAATTAATATTAATGTAATTATGCATAAATTTCTTGCCTAATCTTAAGAAGTCACCTACATATAATGCTTATTAAAGTTCAATAAATATTCTTAATCAATACTGTTGAAATAACAATTAGAACATTGACCATTTTCATTGTTATTTCTTAAGTAAACACCTATTTGGGAATTTCAATTTTTTATGGTACCGATTGATTTACACGATATATGCAATAACCCTAACTAAAGACTGTGCCTTCCTTACTGTTAAATTTCAACATGATATATGTGTGTTTACGTATATGTATGTATGTGTGTGTGTGTGTGTGTGTGTGTGTGTGTGTGTGCTAGTTCTTACATCTTAAATTAACCCATTTCTATCCATCTCTGTTTCACTATGTGGCTGCGGCCTACTGGTAAGTTTCCATCTGGCATTTGTCTCCTGCTGCAACTACACGGCGTCTCTCTGAATCCTCCTACTCTCTCTATCTATCTTTTCCATCCTGGCTATATTCTGTTAAGCCACTAGCCAAAAGCAGTTTCTTTATTAACCAATGACAATAAAACATATTAACAGCATACAGAGGGACTCCCACATCGTGTGTGTGTGTGTGTGTGTGTGTGTGTGTGTGTGTTTGTATGTATTTATCAAGTTGAAGATATATAATATATTCTATCCAGATGGACAAAGGAACATGATGGATATTTTTAAGAGTGAAATAAAAAGACAAAATGCAAAGACCAACACAAGAAAATTCCTAGATTCTTATACTTGGCTAAAACTCTAAATCTCTCCTTTTTTCTTTCTGAGCTACAGTTTATTCACTGACTTATTAGAAAAAAACCTATTGGCAGTGTGATGTTAGTGTTTTCAGATTAATTTTAATACTATATGGAAAACTGGGGTGACTTGGAATGATGGCAGTCAACATGAAGTAACCCAAATATTTCATACTGACTCCTTCTGTGTTTCTCATGTATGCAGGGTTTGTAGTGGGTGTGGTTTTAGGCTGTTTGATCATTGGGTGCTCTTAGAGCTCCAGAAGTGTGGAAAATAAGCATATTAATCATAACATTCATATTTCCAGCACAGGAATTTTTAGGGCTTCTTGGGGGTGATGATAAGCTTGTAAATATCCAAAATAAGTCAGCGAGCCAAGTAGCTACATCTTCGTATAAAGACTAGAAAGTAGAGACTCAGAAACCATTCAGCATACAAATAACAAACCTTGAGCAAGAGTCTGGATCCTTGGGTTTGTCTGCCTGCTAAAGACAATCTTGTGTTCAGTGGTGAAGTCAGTCCAGGGCTTTCCGATTGGAGCCTAAATAGACACCCATCTCCATATTAGACCACTATTAGATGTAAGACACTGTTTGAATGATACCTTGCTAACAAACACACACAACTGAAGGCAACTTGATACATAGAATATAGTAAATGCCAGCTCATTAATTAATTAAAGTAGATAATAGGACACAGAGACTTGAACCCATGAGAGATTTAATATGTATCCAGACTTACCCTTCACTCAGAGTGAGTCACACAACTGTCCAGAAATAAATCAGGGAGAAGTCAATACGTTTTTCATTTCTTTCCCATTGTCAGAGTTGATTTATGAAAAGAAAATGCTGACTTATTAAAGTTGTTCAAATGAACAAGAGAACAAAAAGAATTTGTGGTACATTACATTCATAATGTTAAAAATGGAAAATCTCCCAAAGTTCCATTTCTGCCATCTGAGGTGCTTTAGAAGTGCGGTAGCCCATTCAGGCCACCATAATAAAGCTCTGCTGCCTGGGTGGCTGATGGACAATAGGAGTTTATTCCTCTCAGCTGTTGCTGCTGGGAAGTCAAGATCGTGTGCTGGCAAGATGGGTGTCTAGTGGAGACATTTTCTCCACACCATTATCCTCATGAGATGAGGCAACAAGAAGAATGAGCTTTCTCTTGAGAGGCTTCTTCAAAGGCACTAATCTCAGCCATCAGTGGTCTGTCTGCATGAACAAGTCACCTCCTGTTGTGGTTTGGCTTCCATCACTGTGATAAAGTACTCTGAAAAAAACAACTTTGAGGGGAAAAGATTGGCCCTGTTTACAATTCCAGGTTATAATCTATCATTGTAGGGAGCCAAAGTAGGAACTTAAAGAAGCATGTCACATTCATAGTCAAGAACAGAGTGAATGCATTCGTGGTTCCTGGTGTTCAATATCCTCTACACTTACATAGTTCAGGACCACCACCACCATCGCCACCACAACCATCACCACCACCGATACCACCACAACCACCAACCACTACCACCATGACAACCACCACCACCACCACTGCCACCATCATCACCACCACCTCCACCATCACCACCACCTCCTCCACCATCACATCCACCATCACCTCTACCACCATCGCCACCACCACCATGGCCACCACCACCATGACCACCATCACCACCGCCACCATCGCCACCACCATCACGACCACCATCACCACAACCACCACTAGAACCATCACCACCACGAACACTACCATGACCACCACCACACCCTTCCGAAGAAATGGCACCACTCGCTGTGTGCTAGGTCAGTGTAATCAATACAATCCCACAGAGACAGGACCACAGCCAACCTGGTCTAGACATTTTCTAATAAGGACTCTTTTCCAAGGTGATTCTAAACTGCGTCAAGTTGAAGTTAGAAGTAACTGTCACTTTTCATGCAGCCTCATCTGCTAATGGTGTCACCTTGTGAGTCAGACTTCAGTGAATGAGTTGTTGCTGGCACCTAATAACCATTGTGGTAAGGTGCGGCTCCTGACAGCAAGGAATGCTGCACTGGGTTCTCCCCTGTGGCATGAAAACTTATCTTTCAATCATCATTTTGATGGATCTGAATACTGTCGTTAACAACGACTGAGGATCTTTAGGTCTTTTTATGGATCTAGCGCAGGCTCTGTCTTTAACAATGCCTGAGGGTATTGTACTGTGTGTTTCTCTTTTGAGTTTTTCTTTATTTTTATTTTATGTATATCAGTGCTTTTTCCTGCATGCATGGCTATATTTCACACGCATGCTGTGCCCACAGGGGACAAAAGAGAGCCTTGGGTCCCAAGACTAAAGTTACAGATAATTTTGAGCTACCATGTGGATGCTAGGAAATTGAACCCAGATCTTCTGGAAGAGCAGCCAGTGCTCTCATGTGCTGAGCCATCTCTCCAGCCAGACATGTGTTTTCTTTAAAGACAGAAAACATAGAATAAATTCACCCAACATAGTAAACTAATATTCATATGGTTATTTATAGCTACTATATTTACATAATTACATGCAAGAAGTAAATTTGTTTAAAGTTCTGTTATCTATCTGTCCTCATTCACCATTTTTCATCTGCTTTATATATAGTCAATAAATACTTTAGAGCAACTATGAACTTAGTAGCAGATTTGATCTGTACTTACTATAATGTATGTTATAGAAAATCTTAGAATAATCAGACCACTGTGTAAAAATTAGACAGCTAGAGCAGAGATTGAAAAGTAGAATGTGATAGTTTTTTTGGTAAAACAAACATTTAATTATTACTCTTGCTAAGAGATACTTTGTGCTTCTGCACTAGGGAAGATCTCAAAACACCTAAATAATTCTTGTCTAAAGTTTCCTCAGGTAGTAGATCCTAACAGGCCTTCAGCTGGAAAAAAAATGTCACTTTATAGCCAACAAAGCAAAAGAAAGTTATTAGTGGGGGCCCTTGAGATGGCTTGAGCTGGGATTGGGGTTCTTGCTGTGCAATCCTGATTACCTGAGCTTGATCCCTGGGACCCACAGCAAACTGGATGAGGCCCAAGCCTGCTTTCTACGCAGTGATTTGGGTAGAGATTCCTTAGACTGGTTTCCTTCCCTCCCTCCCTCCTCACTTCCAGTCAGCCCACCAACCACTGGGCCCTGGGATCAAGACTCTGTGGAGCCTGACTCCAAGTCTTAATTAAAAGATGCCTAGAGTCAGTTCCCTTCCCCCACCTGCTTACTGGCTACCCATCCCTCATTACTCTCTAGTCTGCTTCTATAGCCTAGCCTAAGTTCCAGTCAGAACTTTACCCTCCCTGACTACCATGCCCATCTTGGATAAGTTAGAGTCCGAATCCTAAAATCCGAGAGTGTCCCCAAATCTAAAATTCAAGAATTATTCAGATGGTCCACAACCTGACAGACTGGGGTAACAGTACACAAAGGCCTGAGCATCTACACTACAAAGACCAGATATGCACACCAAGATACACCATAAATATTATAACTCCAGATACCTAGATCCCTGTGCAAAAACACAAACAAGAACAACAAAGACAATTTCATTACACCAGAAGCCAGCACCCTACTGTAAAATTCCCTGAAAGGGACAATTTAGCTGAAGCATAAGACACAGACTTTACAACAGCCATTATGAATATGTTCAAGAACTTTAAAGAGGATATGAAATATGCCTGGATGAAGTTCATGAAAACATTGACATTTAAGTGTAATAATAAGAAAATTTTAAATATGGAAATCAAATTGAACAAAGAAATAGACTCACTGATAAAAAGTCAAACTGAGATGAAAAGCTTGGGAAGTCAACAAAAAGGCACCTACTGACCAAATGAAGTAGAAGATAGAGTTTCAAGTCTTGAAGACAAGAAAAAGAAATGGATCACTCAGCCTAAGAAAACATCAAATCATTAAAAATCCAAACACAATGGGCTGGAGTGATGGCCCCATCGATAAAGGCAAGAGTCTTAACTAAAACATCAAAAATCCAGGCACGAAGCACCCAAGAAATCCAAGATATATGAAAAGACTACACTCATGAATTATAGGTATTGAGGAAGGTGAGGAAACACAGGCCAAAGGCACCGAGAATATAAAAATGAAACAAATCAAAAAACAAATGAAGAAAATTTCCCAAATGTAAAGAATTTTACCAGATTCCCCTGACTGGCCTAGAACTCCTGCTATGTAGACCAGACTTCTGCTAAACTCACAGAAATCCCCCTGTCTCTGTCCTCTGAGAGCTGGGATTAAAGACCTGTTGTACCACGTGCAGTTTCCTAAGGACTGCTTCCTCAAGTGACTGCCTGTTGCCAGCAAGGGTGTTGTAACTCTTCTGACTGAGTCTAGTCACTCTTCCTCAGGTTCCAGCCCAATGGCCAGGGCTCATCAGCCTTTTGTGACTTCAGCTGCACTGCGGAGATTACTCATGGTTGGAGCCTGTCTACAGGTGTGGAGTTCTTCTCCCGGGGTATTTCAAGGTATTCGGCCTTTCTTTTTGATCATTTTGGAATCCTGTAAATACCAATAGTTTAATATGGTGTTGAATGTTTGGGCATTATTTCTCTTTCAGAGTTTCGTCTTCAAAGTCTGCGATGTCTTAGTTGTACGTAAACTGAAAACTTTTATCAGGATAAATTGTGTGTGTGTGTGTGGTGCGTATGTGTGTGGTGTGTATTGTGTGTGTTTCTAGATGCTGAACCTAGGCAAAATGCACACTAGACAAGTACTCTAGTACTGAGCTATAATTCTAGCCTAGATTTTCTGGGTTATTTTTAATTATTTTAGGCTTTAAATATCAAAGACATTCTTCTAGTTTTATCTTTTATCATAATTTATTCTCCTAGTCATCAGACCTTTGTAGAAATGTTAAGTAAAAGTCTGATTTTGTTATCCATTTGTTAGAAGTCTTTATTTGAATCCTTTTTCATGTTTCTGTCATTTGAAATGCCACATTTATCATAAAATTGTTCCCATTTTTTATGCACCCAGGCTGTCCATTATGACGATGAGCTGGGTGTTTACACATGCCCAAGATAATACTTTTGTGATTACTAGAATATTGAGGTCTTTTTTGGTAGTTAAAAGGTTAATTGGTTAAATTTTCTTTTTTGGTTTGCATCTTAAAATGTCTTTGGACTAATAACATTTATTTTTGATGTACAAACTTATTCATTTATTAATATATCTAAAACTTTTAGAAATTTGGTTAGAATTACATTAAATATATAGTTTCTGTAGAAATGAATATTTAAAAGGATAAATACTTCAATGTGTTAGATTTACCAATCATTTTTTCAGTATGTTTGACATTTATTGAAGATTTATTCATATGTATTTCATAAATGTTGTTTTTGCAGACTCCTTTTTCATCAGATTATAATTGATTGCTTTGGGAAAGCAGTCATTTTCATATATGCATTTTTCTCCTCTTCCTTTCTTCTGTTTATCTGTCTCTGTGTCTTTCTCTGTCTCTGTCTCTCTCTGTGTTTCTCTGTGTGAGAGAGACAGAGACAGAGATATAATGTCTCACTATGTAGTATAATCTGGCCTCAAACTTCTTGTGCTCACACTGCCTTATCCTGCAGGCTAGGGTTGCAAGCATATATCTGGCTCCTATGTCCAGCTCCAGTACAGATGACAACTCACAAAAGCTAGAAACTTGGAGCACACAGCACAGCTGCAGATGACTTGACATCTCAGTGTCCTTTCCCAGAGACTCAGATGGTCTGAACCTCTTCCAGGCAGCTCAGTTAGTTTTTGTTTCTTCTAGACAATTTGGCTGGTCTCTGCTTCTTCTAGGCAGTTTTTACTATTTACATACTCTTAGGATGTTTGAGATGAAGGTCCAGCAAATCTCATCAATTTTAGGGACTTCCTGAAGCTACGTTGAGTTGTTTTTAATAGGCTTTCCTTTAGTATTTCAACTCCCCTTAGGAAATCCTATGGTTTTGTCTCCTTGCAAACATAATGTCTTAACTGAAACTTTCACTAGGAGATGAAAAGTTTAAATCTTGGAGGAAACACATGCTACACTTGGGAATTTATTAGTTTCTCTTCTTACTACAAATATAGTTTTTTGCCACCAACATTTTGTAAGCCTATAGTTGATTGTCTGAAAAGTCCAAGTTTATGCTCTTCCTTTCCAATAGCATTAAGTCTGCATTCTTTTCTTATTTCCCTGGATAGGTCCTTAAATACATTGATGAAAACTAGTGGTGACTATATATAGATATAGTTTTGTATGCATTTTTTAAGATGAAAATTCAGTAGATCTGGTTGCAACAGTATATGCAAACAGGTTAAAAAACAAAACAAACAAACAAAACAAAAACCACCATCATCACCACCACCAACAACAAAACAGGAAATTGAGAATGGGCAAATAGGTGCTGTGCAGATCTGACAAGCCAAGTTCCACCCCTGGAGCCCATAGTGGAAGGGCAGAATAAACTCCTGAAAGCTACAATTTCCACATGAGCAACACAGTATACTTGTGTCAACAATGCTGCTTTTGCTGCTGCTGCTGCTGTGGATGATGATGGTGTTGTTGTTGTTGTTGATGATGATGATAAAATAAAATTTCAGATACAGGCAGCTACCTCCAAAATGAAGCTCACTGTGAGCTTTATACCTTCTTTGCAATACATCAGTATAGCAAGCTCTCAGTACAGGAGACCAATGACTATGTATGTGTGTAGGTCCATTTTGAATTGGTACATATGGCCCATAC